CCCTCCTCCCCGTCCCCTGGAGCCACTTTGCGAATGAATGGATACCAAGTGTTTACTCAGCAACTTTGCCTGTCCCCCAATATTTCTCAGGATTGCATCAAAAAGGGGAAAATAACCTGCAGATAGACTATCTCCACGACCACCATTTAAGGTGTACATCTGGCATAAAATTGGGGAATATGTTAGCAGACACATTGTTAATCTCCGCAATTGTGACCTTAAATGCAAACCTGTATTCAGCTCATTTTTGTATTTATGGGAACACACACACAACTTGTGATTAGCTTCTGTCACAAACAAGCTTCTGTCTGGTCTTATCTTAATACTTTCGGGGACACTTTGACACACACATCCAACCAGTGTGTTTTACAGTGATGTCTTACTGATTTTAATCTCTAGACGTAAATATAAAACCTGTGTTAATTTCAGTGAGGAGGAGGAAACTTGGCCTGGCTCTATAAATCACATTTATAATGTTCTATTCACTCGGAAATACTCTAAGTTTGTGGTTCGGGTAAAAATTTCCAGACAGATTTTTACATTTTCTGTGAGACAGCAAACCTGAGCCACTTGCTGAGCTGAAATATATGAAGGATATAAATGTCCAGTGTGTAGGATTTATGGGGATATATTGGCAGAAATGGAATATAATAAGTATATTTTTTTCGGTGTATGTCACCTGAAAATAAGCATCTTCTTGTTTTTCATCTTAGGATGAGCCGTTTATATCTACATAGGGAGTGGGTCTTCAACCATGGAGTCTGCTATGTTGCATCACAATGTTTCTACAGAAGCCCAGAAAGGACAAATCAAACACTAGCTCTAGATTCATGTTTTTCGCATCAGCCACCATAGTGACGAACAAAACAGTGGGGAAACGCACTGATTTGTAATGTGAAATATCTATCTTATCTAATATTTATCAAAGAAAAAAGCTGAGCACTCATTAGCATGTGTTGGGCTAGCTGCTTGTCTGCAACAAGCCAAACAGCATCAGAGAAACACTGAGTTGTAATGTGAGTTGAAACTGCTTTATTCAGTGTTTTTACCAGTTTTAATCACCACATCAGTTTGTTTTGGAGCAGAGAGAGAGACCTCTGCAGATAATTTGGCTCCCAGTAAAAACCTCCTGAACAATAAACACTGAAGGAGTTCCAACTGGGAGTTCACACTTGGCACACAAGAAAAGTTTCAGGTGGCTGCAATCTGCAATCCTCACTGCTAGATGCCACTAAATCCTACAAACTGCTCCTTTAATCCAAAAACAAAATATGACTTTTTGGAGTGAAGCAAGATATGAAACTTTTTAGGGTAATTTGTTTTGTTAGATGTGATATTCTTGAATCTGTGGTCAGGTTTACAGAGTAAAGGGTAATTCAAGCCACAATGAGAAAACAGCAACCACTGCGACCAACACGTTTGAAGCTATGCATCACAGTGAGATGGCACACCAATATCCTAAGTCACAATTCTCATCATCAATGTGAACCTGAACCAGCAGGGCCTTAGCTCCTGCCATCTCAGCTTCAGGGAATCCTCCACCTTCTGACTGACTGTAACCACACTGCTGTTGATCCACCATTAAACTAGAAAGTTTACAAAAACTGTTTTTAACGTCTGTGATAAATGAGTTTAGACAGCTGTGTGTGTCTGCATATTTCATTGCATTGTTGTATTAGGCTCTCTGAGCTTTAGAGGATGCTGAACCAGTGCAGAGTTTAGCAGTGAAATAGCAGAAATGTAATAATTTCTATCCTCTTTCCATTTCATTTATGAATCCTAATGTACTTCCCAATGGTGCATGTCAGCAGCTAATCCAATAGCCAGAGAAAAATGATGGCATTGTACGTTTCTGAAAACCATGGATCCACTACATTTGTGTGTTATGATGTTGCGGATACATTGAAACTTTACATTTCAATTACGGTGTGGTTAAAGTGTGGTGAGGTTTCAGCACAAAAATCACTTGGCTAGATTTAGGAAAAGGTCATGTTTTGACTTAAAATACCTGGTTCTGGGGGAACAATTCCAGCAGGAAACACAGCAACATCTCTGCAAAAACAACCCATTTTTGAGGCACTATCCCAAGTGGAAAAACAGTGAAAGAACAGTGACGGGTCACTGAAAATCACCAACCTTTGGGGGCTAAAAAGCTGCTCCAAACACAGCAATAACTCTCTAAATCATGTCCTCTTTTGTTGTTGGTTTCAAACAGTGGTCGAGAGGTTGACAGGTGTTACCTTCCACCATCCCCTCCGCCTCCCGATGATAAAGTCTGCTCATATGTCACTTTAGAAATGTTGATATGATATAGTATATGAACTGTGCAAATGTAACGTATTTGTGGTTTGAAGAAAGGTACAATGCCAACATTTTCTTCTGGCGACTGGGCTGCAGCGGCATCATCCTGCCATTGGGTGGTCGGACATTTTGTAAAGACAGTAACACAGGGTGGAAGTGAAGCGAGGTGTTCACTGTACACAAAAAAAATGCCTGTGTGTAAAGTACATTGTCTAAAATTGTAAATATCTGTACATGGAGCGTCAAAGTGCAGAGAGGTACGGGGAGGCTGTGGTGGGGTTGGTGGGGTGAGTTTAGGAGAAGAGGGGATTAGCAAGAGGCCGCAGGCCCCGAGGCAGAGGGCCCGTTTCCTGGCCTGAGCCCCTGTTTGTCCTGCCTGACCTGGCAGCTCTGGGGGCAGATCCTGCTTGGATACAGCCCTGCTCCCACGCCTGTCTGAAGCTGTTAGCCACTGGCTGTGAGTAGCTAGCTGGGCTTAGTGTTGTCTGAGCTGCGGCTGGGTCGGGAGGGGTCCTATCATCTAGGGGGGGGGGGGTTGCCAGTGACTTTGTGTTAGCGGTGTGAGGGTGACAGGGAAACAGGCATCCAGTAAAGGAGTGGGAGGTTATGATTAATGACTTTAGTTGGATTATTGCCACCATGTTTTTTTGAGACCAGGCCCATTAGAAGGACAATCTTAAACAGTGTGAAGGGATGTGTCTGTCTCTTTTTGGTTTTCTCCATCTGCCTCTCTAAATGAACACATGAAAAACAAACATAAATTTTCCTCATAAGGTGTTCGACTCATATATATACTGTATAGAACAGCTTCAGTGAACTTTGGCATTGATTCACCACCATTCCTGCAAAAGATATTACCTCATTTGGTGTTTTTTGACGGGGGTGGAAAAAGCTGTCTAACAATCTGGTCCCAAATCTTCGAAAGGCATTGGAGGATCTTTCCACAGGCGCCTAAAGGAGGAGTAAGAGAAAATAAAAAGGCAAAACTATCTGGGGCACGATACAAAAACACAAATTTGCAAATTTCCACATATCATATCCTCTTCTGTTAGTTTGTTGACTAAGTTGTTTGTTTGTGTTAATTCCTTATTAGTTCTTGTTCTTGTTAATAATATATGCAATAATAACAACAATAATAATTTGTATTTTTACATTTTTTGTTGGGGTATAGGGGGCAAACATGGGGAGCCAAGGGGTTGGCCTATGCTCGGTTTGGCACTGCCCTAAGGTGTAAAATTAGGCTGAGATCTGGTGATTGCGAAGACATCACATATAATTAGTGTCTTCTTTTTATACTTATCAAACAGTTCTCCCTAAACCTGTCATGTCTGCTGTGAAGCCGTGCCTCCTTAGGGGAACAAAAAAGTTGTTCTTGGGTGCGTCAGTACAATGAACAACCGAGAAAGGACGGCAGAGGAGATACCCACACACCAATGCAACTGGGCTGGACAGACACAAAAAAGGTTCACAGGATGAGATCAGTGCAAAACAAATGTCAATTTATTTAGGACATCCATGCACAAAAACAGCAGCAAACATTTCAGCCCTTGAGCACTGATGATAGTTGAGGACTGAAATGTTTGCTGCTGTTTTTATTCACTTTTTATTATTGGTTTTTGCACTTTGAGCACCCTTGTTTTTAATGCACAGGTGTCCTTAATAAATTGACTTTTTTCTGCATTGATCTCAGCCTTTGAACCTTTTTTGTGGCTGTCCAGCCCAGTTGCATTGGTGCGTAGGTATCTCCTCTGCTGCCCTAAACCTGTCAGGCCACTCCTTTACTCAGGGTTTCTTTTAATTTGTTTCCCATCTGAACATCCTCAGCATGATGACATTATCAGTGTGCCTTGCTGGGCTCAGTCCACTATCATTCACAACACTCCACAGCACCTCTCCCCATGTTGTTTAAAGTAACGGCACACTGTGTATCTTACCTTTTAACTTCAACCCTCTATTTGCCTAAATAATCAATCAGAAGCACTATCCCAGGCTTGTGTTTAAAAGCTGTTGTGTGTGCAGCACTGTGTTTTCACTTAAAGATCCATAAGATAACACCTCTCCTCTCTGGCCGGGGGGACTGTTTGATTATCGCTCTCCAAAAAGGAAAATGAAATAAGAGGGATATTTACTTTTCTTCCCCAAAAGCTTTGATAGCTCAATTGCTTGTTTTCAGTGGCTTGTTATTATTTTTCAATTGCTGGATTGTCTGTTGGGTTTGGAGTAGCGCGGAGCAGCTCTGTGAGTGTTGTTTCTGCCCTGGATATACACAGAGCTGTCAGTGAAAGCAGGGAGAGAGCAGCAGACAGAGAGGGTCATCAGTAAATCTCTGTTAGTGCCTCAAACAGTAAAGAATACGTCTACTATTGTTCCAGTATGGTGTGTGACGCATTGTGAAGATATTATGATCCATACAGGCTGCCTAATGCTTTTTTCTGGGTTATATCTTACCATGGAAACTAAGCTGACAAAAGGCCTAACCAAATCCTAAAATCCCCCTTTTGAAAACTGGCATCTGAGGAAGACTAGAACTTAACTCAAGTGATTTTACTGTCACATACAGAGTATCATGGACTCAGAGGAATACTGAAATTTTCTTTTGGGTCTTGTCCTCCTGCCTCACCAGTGACGTCACTCCTGCCCTGCTTTATAAAACTGTCAACGCCTTCCTCTCACCTGGACTGACACACACCACCCCAAACACCAGGGCAGGACAGGGGCTATTTTTGGCCAGAGGAGAGGATCATCAGTAGATAAACTACGCACCTAACTTGGCTCTTTCTCGGGCATTCTCCCCAGCTGATCATTTCCACAAAAAGAAGATCATCACATTGTTTCTTTTATGAATCTGGCAAATTATTCTTACTTCTCTGGCATGTGCAACATGACCGCAGAGACGCAGCACTCGCCCGCCGAGGCGAGTCCTGTTGTCATGTCTCCAAATGTCAGCCTGGACTCGCCGCTGCCTCCGCCGCCTCTCATGCTGCAGGCCCGCTCCAAGGACAATGTGTTGATCAAGTCGGAGCCCCGGGGGAACAGTCCCAACACGGAGGATGGAGCCGCTCTGGGGCAGACTGAGGAGCACCTGCCCACCGGGAGCCGCCGGAGGAAGAGGCCCGTCCAGAGGGGGAAGCCTCCCTACAGCTACATCGCTCTCATCGCCATGGCCATCGCCAACTCCCCCGAGAGGAAGCTCACCCTGGGGGGCATTTATAAGTTCATCATGGAGCGCTTTCCTTTCTACAGGGAGAACTCCAAGAAGTGGCAGAACTCCATCCGCCACAACCTCACCCTCAACGACTGTTTTGTGAAGATCCCCCGGGAGCCCGGCAGACCAGGTAAAGGCAACTACTGGACGTTAGACCCCGCAGCTGAGGACATGTTTGACAACGGGAGCTTCCTGAGGAGGAGGAAAAGATTCAAGCGCACAGATGTGAGCACCTACCCCGGGTACATGCAGAGCTCAAGCGCGTTTACACCAACCCCAATGGGTAGGCCCTCGTACCCAAACACCCTGTACGCAGGGATAGGCTCCGGTTATGGCTCCCAGCTGACTGCAACATCCCCGCATCCGGCCATGCTGCATCACTACCAGACCTCCGCCGGGGTCGGCCAAGGACAGCCGCGCATGTTCAGCATCGACAACATCATCAGCCAGCAGACGGTGGTGCAGAGCGGCCCGGGGGGAGACCTCAACTCGCAGGCGCTGGGGCTGGGCGGAGGTGACCTGGGCACCATGACCTCCAGTTGCTCGGTCACCGGCACCGACCCGTCTGCGTGCTTCCAGACCCAGACTGTGAACCCGTCTGCGAACATGCTGAGCAGAAACAGCGGGAATCTGTCATCCAACCTGACCGCAGGGTACCCGTACTCCTCCTCGGCCTCTCCTCCAAACCTGTCCTCCATGACCCAGTCCGGTTTCTCTCCGGGGAGCTCGCAAGTGTACTGCTCCGGCAACCGGCTGTCTCTGCCGGCCCTGCGCCCGGGCTCCTGCGCCGAGCACACGGAGCAGCTGCTGGGCCTCTCCAGCCCCATGAACTCCTACAACAACACCTACATGCGACAAGCCAACTTTGCGTCAGGATTAGAGCGGTATATGTGAGACTTTACATACAAAGGAAAATCCTAATTAATTAAAGGTCACTTAATAGTCCCCTTAATGAGTCCATATGAAACACAGGTCTGGTATCATGACATAAAACAGTATTTTTGGGACACATATCCAAACACAAGGCCTATATTTTAAAGCTTCTATTATGTCAATCATTAAACGACAGATTTATAATTTCCTGTATAAAATTCGGTGATTTATTATCTTATCTTGACCGAGCCTCATGATAAAACATTCCTATTTTATGAAAGCCATTTTAGATCCGTTTGACACATTCCATGACTGTATCTCAGAGAGTTTAATGTGTTTTATTGTGCCACATTTCGTTCACAGTTCCTGTGTTTTACAGTTTGTTTTTACATATATTTGTTATATCATCAATTCAAGTCTGCTTTTTTGTCATGTAAATAGTTTGTTGGTGTATAAAACTAAAGGATAAGAGTGTTATGATTGCTGACGACAGGTCGCCTGAAATAAATTCATTTTTACAGTAAAATAAAGGTGGTCTTTATTTGCAATAATTCAGATGTATTTGTCAGTGGAAAATACTGTAGTTTGTATTATTTGGTTTTAGTGTGACTGCAGGTTAAGTTACATCAATCATTGCATTTTCTTAAAATGAATCACATTTCAGTCAAAATGATAACGTGTTTTTATTTAAAAGCTGGTTGTATTATTGTTAATATTTAATATATTTAAGACCAAACAGTTCAAAAATATGTCCTGGTTCAAATCTAAATATTTTGTAATAACCAACCTCGCTTAAAAAATAAGACTTGAGGATTTTTCTCCTAGTAAAACAAAACAAAGTAAGGATAGATATTTTAAAAAAGATAAAAGTAGCAGCATTGATTTGATTTGATTTGAAAGCCTTTTTGTTTTTTTCCTTATAGACAAAATGTGTTTTGATAAATAAATGTAGTACAAATAAGACACAGTACAAATGAACAATTAGACACACTAACAATATAAAAAGGACAGATTATTCACCATTATCACACATCGATTCAAAATTTTAACACAGTAAATTAAATAAAAATCACAGGAAATCAAGGTTAGGAACTATTAATTAAACATATTGACTGAACTAGTCTTAACCACTCGCACAGTGTCCTAATATAGCACAAATGTTCTAATCGTTTTAGCTGTAGGTGCCTTTAAAATCTATAATACAGGTCTTATTGTCTAAACTGAGAGAATACACACTGTACCAACAACAAAGACCAAGTGAGGGATATTATATATGAATGTATATTCACTATGGACTGGAGTCCGTTACATCATCAACATCTCTAAATAATCTTTATCACAATTTAACTTGTAGGTTGTTTTTCCTCATAATCAATTCCTTTATTTTTAATTCCACCATATAAAGTTCTTATTCTATAACTTTAGTTAAATACTTTATTGTTACTTGTGAGGTGGGTGTTTCTCTGCCATTTTTATGTTCCAAAAATACTTTTTGGTCCAAGGATGCAGATACGCATTTATTTCAATGCTTAGCCTATTCACTAGCCTATTTCGACACAGATCTACTAATTTTTCACTTGTTTTTATTATGAACTATATCAATAACTAGGTGTTATTCAGATTTTAATCAGCATTTTAATTCGCTTTCTCTGTTGAAAAAAGAAAATATCAACTGCTAGACAAACATTAGTCAATAAATATACATGAAATGGTTCACAGATATACAAAGTAGTGATTAATATATCATAATTTGTCAAATAGCTTCACAAGTCATCTGAGGTCATGTAGACATGTAGAAATAAAGTGGAATAGTTGGTGTTGGTGACAGAAACAAATTGTGTCAAAGTTCCTTGTAGCACCCAACTGGCATAATTTTCATCATGGAGAGGTAATTCAGTAAACATAGATGCAACCTGGTCACATTCTGGTGTTCATGATTACATTTTAAGGCTGTTTAAAAAAAAAAAAAACACAACTCGCATCAAAACACAGATTCAAAAATACAAGAAATTCATTCTAATGTAATAATAAAAAAGCTCTGAGTTTGTTTTTGCTCAGGTCATGAAGGCTTCCAGCTTGTACAGCTGCCCACCGCTCTCTGTGTTATTGTCTTGAAGCCACATACAGCTGCACTCAAACTATTGATGCATCAGAAGGACAGATGGTGTAAGGGTTGTATTAGATTTAAACTTCTACACATAGTCTGCAGATAGTGTTCCCCGCATCTGTTGCAGCACAAATTTGCCTGAGGGCCACCTGGTGGGTGAGTCCCATCATGCACATGATCAACAGGGATGAGGCAGGTACTTGTAAGTGAAAACTAAGCGGGGTCTTTGGTTTAAAGACGGTCTCTGATAAGAGGAACAGCATCTTACCAAACAGGAAGCTCGACTTTCCTTTGATAATCTACGTCTATATCTTCCACAAGCTGGGATCATAACAGAGATTTTAAAACATAAGTTAGTATGGTCAAATTCAAAAGCGAAGGTCTGCTCACAGCTAAACCTCATTACTTCTGTGTGATACAACTGTTAGTTCAGCATGAGTGAACACAGTTGGAACTGAAGGAATTAAACAGGTTCACCACTAGATGGAAGCAGAAGCTAAATGTTCAGCCTGTGGGATAGTTCACAGTCTAACAAGGATTTCGTTTTGCAGTTTGTTGTGTTTATGGTTAAATACAATTATTCTGCTCTGACTCCACTGCTAAAGTCACAGTTTACGGTTTTAAAAATGCTCATTTTGTATTGACAGGCAGGCTGGTTTGGATCTGTAGATGTTCCACACATAATCAGGAATAATCTGATTTTTATTACAGTATTGTGTTTTGCTGAACTGAACCGATTTGACTGATTTGAAGTCTTTAAAAGAGTTTTAATTATAGGAGGAAGCACTGTCATACAAAGTTGGTGTTCTGTATCTTGCCAAACATGTCCCTGTCCAGAAAAAAAAAAAACTGTACACAGATGAAATTGCTAATTGTTTATGACTACTCAGCATGGATCCACAGAGTAAGTTTGCACAGAATTTGAGACATCATTAAAAAGCTGATGAAATGTGGGACCTACCTAATTTTCTTTACTTGTGTTGAATTAAATCTTTAAGAAATGACAATAATGACAATAGTTGATTTGTTCATACACTATGTTGTATCTTTATAGCTGCGGCATGGGAGAGGTGCCCAAGTGAAATTAATAAAGTTGATCTTGAACCTTGACTCTAAAGCCACCTTACCACGTGCACAACCATGGAATAACCTATGAAAGAATTAGGAGGCTTCACAACTGAGACATTACCATTACAACTTATTACAGACAAAAATATTTATGCAACAAAACTCACTGTGCTGGAAATGTCTCAGTGTGATGTCATCTGGCCAGTGATCTGAAAAACAGCAAAATGAAAACAACGATGCATCAAGAACTGCTTTTTTAAATTAGTGTTTCTTCACACAACTCTAAACATCGAAGGTGCTCCTGTGCAGCTTCTATCTATTCTTGACTTCACACTATTCATGACAGTTTCAATGCTTTTTATGACCCTTTCAAGATGATTTTTTAGCCAAAAAATTAAACACTGATTTCTGGACAGTTATCTTTTTCTTATTCAAGCATTGCAAGTGAGTGTAAAGGTAAGTAGTGTATATGTAATCCTGTGCAGAGGTAGGTTTAATGTAAGAATGTAGTTACTACAGTGAGTTAGCTTAATCTACATTTGCCAAGAGATACCTGCAAGTATAACGTAAAAAGACAGTATTAGGTTTAGTGGTAGATTTAAATGAATGTGAACTTTCACACATAAGAGCTTTAATAAGTTAAAAAAAAATGAAATTAGACTATTTAATGACTTTTAAGGCCTTATATTAATAGAATTAAAGACATTTCAAGACTTTTTAAGGACCTGCATACGCTCTGTTTTAACATTGTGTTTGAATTTACACTTGTTGTCATAGCTTGATGTTTCAGAGGATGTAACTAATATGATCTAATTCATTTTCAAACATTAATTCTTCAAGCCAAGCCCTCTATTAGATCATATTTTGGACCGTTTGTTTTATTTAACCTCCTAGTGTTTCAACATGCCTCATTATCCCAATCTTACACTCTGACTGACAGCCAGTGGTGTAGTGGAGGGTATACACAACTCTCTTTCTGGCTGTTTACAGTGTGACCACTTATCAGCCAAAAAGCCACCGGAATATTTAGGACAGTATTCCTCCTTACTTAGTACAACCACGCCATCAGCTACCATGACACAACTGCTGACAACCAATCGCAACTAGTGTCAGTAAGTATTGTAATGCACATGAATACTCCTGCATATGGTTAATAATTGATATACTTTACTCTGATTTTTTCTTAAAGACATAATATTTTCATATCGATGTGGGGTGACTGCATTTTATTAACGCATGAACTGCAAGCTGACTTGACTTTAAACTTAATTTTCCACTTCCTCAAAATCTCAAAATACCTCAGCAGCCTTCAGTTTCTCAGCTGCATCATGCCCCATGTTGACAGGATACATCACAGGCCTTTACTAACATGTTCGGCCCTGTGAGGATTTCACTTGTATCACCTTGTCACCAGCAGAGGGCACTTCAACACCACAAACTGCACCGATGAGACACCTCTCCACTGGGCCAACTCACGGATCATAAAATCCAAAAATCCAGTGAACCTTTGGAAACTTCCAAGAGCCTGAAATGCCTACAGCACACGTTTTGTATGTTACTAAATATAATTTGATAATTCAGCCAAATCTCTTTGTAAAATTAAATAAGTGCAGGTCGGACGCTTGATAATAAAAAGAGCTGTAAATAAATACAGGCCAGTAAATTTGTTGCTAAACACACACACACACACACACACACACACAAAAATGAGTGGGCCGCATGGACCATCTCGTGTTTATTGATTGGCTATAGATCTTTAAAGATATTCCAATACAGTATCAATCAACAGGTCCAAAGGCTCCAAAAAGTTCCGAGGATCTAGGGATGATAATAACAATAATAATAATAATAATGATGATGATGGCTGTATATGCGTCAGGTAGGTCTCAGTGCGTCTTTTCTAGATATTAAAAGCCTTCTGACAGGCAGGTCAGACAAATCACACACGGCTCTGTCTGTAGGTGGTATTCAAGAAGTTGCATGTGTGACTTGCACTTGATCCCTCAGTGGTTCAGTATTTTCCTTCAATGAAGAATATTTAGATTTAAACAAGCAAACAAAAATACAGATAGATTATGAAAACTATAGTTCCGTGGTGAGTAACAAAAAAAACGATGACAGTCTGTGTGCCGTGTGACCTCTGAGATGAATGGGCTGCTGATGTAAACGCATTACAATAACTCGGTGTTTCTGCACCGTAATGAACTGGAATGTCATCTTGTGTCTGAATGAGCCCGCACACATTCACACACACATTACACATTGTCATCTGCTGCTGGCCTCTCACTCCTGACGAAGACGAATTGGAGCAGGTTGCAGCTGACTGTGTGTGTGTGTGTGTGTGTGTGTGTGTGTGTGTGCGTGTGCGTCCTTGTGAATTGTGCAGAAAATGCAGATGGATAGTGTTGTGACTTCTTGACGACGAAAACACAAAACCTATGAGAAGTGATCAGGGAATTAGGCGACTGGCCAGAACCTTTGAGGAGGAATTCAAGACGGATAAAATCAGCCAGTTTATTAGGGACAGAATAAAGAGCTCCTTTTGTTTATTAAACACCTGAAACAAAAACTGATGAAACAGATCAAACGTCTGAACAACCATTAAAAATGATAATTAAAAGACTAATGAAAAAAATGATAAAAGGCCAATTTTAGTGACATCCTGATATTTATTATTAACTTAATTTTAAAAAAAATTATGGGCGCAAATGTGGTGTATTTCATTTCTGAATTCAACAAGTATTGCGTTTGAAAAGGAACGAAAATATATAAAATAATAATAATAATAGTAATAATAATAATAATAATAATAATAATAATAATAATAATTTCCTTTTAGCACTTGCCTTTCGTTCTTAGTCATGAGCTGTGCAGATAGATTTGACACATTTTTATAACTTACGTGTAACCATATTATATAATTATAATGGACGATCTGGCTCTAAATATAAATTTTTAATGTAGGCCTATATGTGCTTTGTGTGTGTAGACTAGTACATAAAAATCCAGTCATCGTTTTTTGGAGCACACCTTGCACTCCACGCACCTCACACTGGAAAAAGGGAAAAAAAGACATTTAATTGAGTCACGCAACCTCATGTTCACAAATTAAATCGCTTTTTCAAAGATTAAATGCCAAATTGCACCGTTTGGTTGTCAGTGAGACTAATTTGTTTAAAACGCATTTTTTTAAATCCATAATTTTATTTTTTAATGGATTGTTAAAGCACATAATAAGAGAGATCTCTGTCTATAATAAGCAAATTAAGTGTTTAAAATATCAAGTTCATACGCACCGGAACACCTGATATTATCCACTTTATATTACATGTTGTCGTTGTTTTTTTATTAAGTTATTTTTCTTTAACGAATTATTTTTAAGATTTAAGATCAGATCCAAATATCACTTTTTACAGGTCAATTTCGTCCAGTTCCTGGTAACAGTGACTCAAAGACCACGTGACCAGCGTGCTCCTATAAATACCTTTTGAGAGCTAAGGAGGATAGTGTGATAGTCTGGCTGGATACCTACCCAACCCCGTGCGTAAAAGACATTTTGGAAAGACACTTGGATATCCAAAAGTAGCTTTTTTTAAATGAGCTACAGCCTAAACTGATCACAGGCGGGAACAATCGCATCTGAAGAAGACACAAATCCAGACTGGTGCAAGCTCGATGATCTTTGACCGTTTCTTTTTTACGCCTGAAAACCAGAAGTTTTCTGCTCGATGAGAAGAACCTCGCGCGGCCCTGCTTGACCAGCCTCGGACGACCCGGAGTCGCCAAATCCACAGGTCAAAGAGTTATTTATCTTTTCAATAGATTCTAGCCATGTGTGAGTTCAGTAGTTGGAGATAAAGCTGCAGAAAAAGTCTGGTGTGGTTGTAAGGGGGAAAGGGAGAGTGTGTGCGCGCTCTCGCTCAGTCGCCTCACCGGACCAGAGGAGGAGGAAATCTGGGAGAGAGGGGGAAGAGAAGCGGCGTCTCCGAGGATGACTTTAGGGACGGATATGTCCGACAGCTCTGCATTGTCCGAAGATGTGGACATCGATGTGGTTGGGGGTGACATATCCGTTGGAAAGGACGGAAAGTACATTCACCACGAGTTCAACTTGGACAATGACTCGGACGATAATTACTCCCAGAACGCGTCCGAGAGAGTTTCCTCTCCCGGGCTCAGCAGCTCCGACTGCCCGTCAGACCAGATGGGGTCCAGCGCAGAGGTCGGGACCGTGATCGGGGAGAAATCCAGAAAAAGTGCACTTGTGAAGCCCCCGTACTCTTACATCGCTCTGATCACCATGTCCATCCTGCAGAGCCCAAAGAAGCGTCTCACTCTCAGCGAGATCTGCGAGTTCATCAGCAACAGATTCCCTTACTACCGGGAGAAATTCCCGGCGTGGCAGAACTCTATCCGCCACAACCTTTCCTTAAACGACTGCTTCGTGAAAATCCCACGAGAGCCCGGCAACCCCGGAAAGGGCAACTACTGGACCCTCGACCCGGATTCCGCAGACATGTTCGACAACGGGAGCTTCTTGCGCAGGAGGAAGCGCTTCAAGAGGCATCAAACTAACGAAATCCTCAGGGAGTCTGGTGGCTTTCTACCCGGGTTTGGATACGGCCCGTATGGATACAACTATGGACTTCAGCTGCAAAACTTCCACGCAGCCCACAGCCCGTATCACCCACACCACACAGGTGGTTCATTCCCATTCCCTAACGCCCCCTGCACCTTGCCCTCATCAGCCTCCATATTCCCTGCGCCGCATCCCCTTCCCTCCCTTTTAGGGGCCGATTTAAGAAAGCCCTTCTACCCTCAGTTAAGCCCGTCTCTGCCGCCTCTCAAGACGGACTCCAGCGCCCCGAATCGGCCTTCATTCTCCATTGACAATATAATCGGCGCGGCCAACTCCACCGCCTCTTCCTACAGCGCGCAGCCGGGCAGCCAGGCGCAGATCCTGGCCATATTGACCCCAGCACTGGCCTCTGCCTCCAATCACTTGAGCCTCACACAGGACAGCATATTACAACCCGGGCCACATGGTCAGACTTTCTCCAGCAAAACCCCGAATATGAACACTTGTCCTTTCTAAATAATAATAATAATAATAATAATGATGACAAGACTGAAAAATCTTTTATTAAAGCCAATTGTGGCGTCGTCCTATGTGAAGGTAGGCTGTACATTCTTGATGAAATAAGAGTGTTTCTGCTCTCCCCATTTCCTAACAATGTAAGAGGAGAGAAATGTTTATTTATGGTTTGTAAATATATGTATAATATTGAGAGACAGAAGCAAGAGAAACTCGGAGAGGGATCTTTTTAAAAAACAGTGCTGGCCTGCAGTCTGGCATGAGGCCTCCATTTGTCAGTGTGGAGAAAACGATCCTGTTATTTTAACATAAGTTAAAGGTGTCACCCATGGCTACGGGGATGATTTTTTAAATATAATTGAGAATTTTATTATGATTTATATTGTTTTTATTCTGTGCGTCGTGAGAAAATGGCACTGTTGTTGTTGACATATAGGCTGACAGAGACGGCAAACTCAGGTTTTACTTAGAAAGCACATGGAGACAAAAGGGGGGGTTTCTGACAACAAAAAAATTAACCATTTCCCACTATCACTCCTTTCCTCCCCTCACTCTCCTCTACATGGTGAATTTGTGACAATATCATTTCATGTCGTCGGTGGACACGTAGGATATGTGTTTTTTTTGGTATAAAAGAGCGGATTACCTCTCTCAACCTTTTTAATTGTTGTTCGTTCCTATCTATTTCACAAGTTAATCTGTGAAACATACAGTATGTCATGTGTTGCCGATAGAGAGACACCTAAATGTTCATAGGTCATTTTTTTGTTGTAATGACAAGAATAATAAATGTTTGTGAATTTGAAAAGAAAAACAAAATCGTTATTTTTTTTATTGCATGGAAAGTTGATGCGTCAGAGTTCACCAGAGAAGGGCCTGTAAACTAAACAGCAGCACATCAGTTGCATTAAATTAAATATACATATGCTGTTTTTGCAAATATTTAAAAACTTACAAATGAAAGTCCAAAGTTTTCTTTCTTCTTATTTATAAAAAAAAAGGTGCTTTGTTGGTTTCCTTGCATTATTTTTATGTTTCCCCTCAGTGAAAGGTGATTTTAATATTCTATTTTCATACATTTTTGCACATTATGGTCAAATTTTAATATTTATTCTTGCTCTAATCATGCAACATCATTTTAGTATATTAAACCCATGCGTGAACACTGACCATTTACAACAAGCCTAAATAGAGGAGTCTCTTAGTAATGCACTTAATTCAGACTCCTTTTGGTGCGTAAAAACGCACAACATTCAGTTGAAATATTTCAAACACGACTCCATGTACATAGCAGTCATGAATATCACGCAACAGTGGGCAAGTATACCTCTTGTGTGGCTCTTGCTCGCTTGTAAAGGACCATTTTCTAGCAAGTTACAAAGGCCCCAAATGAATGGGGGACGTTAGCAGGGCCTCGGCGGTCTGTAATTGAAAGTGAACAAGGATATACCCACGGTCTTTTGGGCTTTCGTTGCTAATTTGTAGCAGCATTTTTCATTAGGCTCCTAATCCACCATAATGCGGCTTTTTGGCCGTTTGTTGATGTTGTCAGTGTGGACCCCTGGCCCAGGGGAGTGAATGTGCGCGCAGCGAGCGGTCCCCTGTGAGACCAGCCACACACATTTAGAACCCCTGAAAAGCAATCTTCTCTAAAGGCCCTCGGTTTGCTCCGCTTTCATGTCGTCTGTGTTGTCTCGGGATACATATAAAAGAAGCAGTGGGACTCGTCCGGCTACAGAAAACAGGCCTATTGGTCTTTTTCAGAGTTGTTGGAGCACATGTTTCCAGACAGAAGGGGGTGTAAAGCCTCTTTTATTTACCAGATCTGTGTGCAAATGGTTAAATTAGTTTGTGGGTGTTTTGACAGATGATTATTAAGGATGAAGGGTGGGAGGGCTGACTCCTCTGTTTTCCCTCAGCACAGCTCACTGAAGGTCTTTGAAACGAAAACCAACACTACTTTCTTTATCCAGACGCAGCCTTTATTTCCTTTCTTTTCCGTTCCCTCTCCCTGTTGGTGCAAATTGGACAATTGATAAATATCGCAGAAGGGTTTTTTTGGGGGGGATCATTTTGATTAGAGCTTCTCCCGCAGTATCCGTGATGTTAATTGATATCCTGCATCTATATAATTTGCAGAGTAAATGAGGTGGAAAAAAACATTAGCAGGCTATTGAAGTTTTCTGCGCGCACTCGCTCTGACAAGGAGTTATTACGCACCGCATCAGTCCATTAAAATCCACATGAAGCGTCTGCAGAGGTGGTTAAAAAACCATTTAAATAACGGCAGGAACGAAAACTAAGCCAATAAAACTCACGGGACACAAAGCACGCACACACACACAGATGCACACACTGGATCTACCATATGAGGTTCAGCCAAAGGCACCGGCTTTGAAAATGGACGATTTAAGACTGAACCCATTTCTACAGATTTTCAGCTCGAGTGCGCACCAACACTGTCCATCTCCACTGGAAGATTACAGGCTTGTGACCAGAATAGACCTGGAGCTTGCTCTTCCTTCCTTCTTCCTTCAACCACCACAAACACTGAACACATTAAACATCCGGGGGAGCATCTTTAAAAACGCCTTTTCATTTTTTTTATATGTGTCCTAATGGACCTACATTGACACGTCAATACCGGTTTCCGTGCGGGTTGTCACTTCAGGACCACCCACAGATTTGTGCGTGTCTTTATTTAGGCACCACGACGACATCCGTCATTTTTGGTGACGTTTTCCTCAAACGAAATAAGTGGTGAGTGATATGTGAAGTGACAGCCAAATGACTCAACAGTCACCAAAAACACATTTATACATTTCAAGGCAATTCCCATCTCATGTCTAACCGCTCCCATATGCCCTGTTTGGGCGTAAGCACACTTCAAGCCGCATTTTGTGCCGCTCTAATTTATTTATAGACGCAGATGTCAACAGAAATTTAGATTTATCTGCGCTTCTAAATATTTTCTCCTTTTTGCTGATTCGCGGGGGAAGTCCTGGGAATGACATAAAACGATTATATTATTATTATTATTATTATTATTAATGTCATTATCATCATCATCAAATTATCACAAGAGTTTGGTGTTGAGCAGCGCGTGACAGCAGGGGATTAAATGAAATCGTTGTGCTTAATTCTCTCTCTGCCTTGCCAATAATGCTGCGTCCCCGGATCGATGCATATTGTTGCGTCTTGAAGGACACGAGGACAGGCTGTGCTGACGCCACGAGGAAATCGTATGTATGTGCGTGTGCGTGTGCGTGTGCGTGTGTGTGTGTGTGTGTGAGCGCGTAATAGAGATGTCAGGCTACTATCCTCAAGGTCACGCTCATCAATTTAAACTGTTGAAAGCCATTCTTCTCTAAGGGAACACAGAACTAACAATATATAATAATGAGACAGATAATATTATAATACTAGAATAGGTCCTCTATCAATGGAGCTACTGATGAAGTTTAGTCCCATAGGTGCCCCTTAAAGACAAATTGGCCCATGCATTAATTTAATTTATAGCCTAATTGTTTGTGGGAGTAAATGGCTGCACCATTGATTTTGTGGGTATATAGGATACAGACCTAGTGATGATCTTTTGGAGTTTAAATCCCCTCTGACATAAACTGTACCCCCCCCCAAATAATTAAATCTGCCTTTTTATTGGAGTAATTGATTATGCACAAGTAAATGTAAAATAAGACACTCGGAAATTGCATGTGGTACTAAGAAAAGACCTGTGGTCCTAGAAATTGAGGGAATGGGGAACAAGGGGGCATGTGCCTCTCACAATTTAGAGTATGTGCATCCTGTTTTTATTTTAAATAAATTAAATACACGTACACAACAAATTAAAAGACAATTCGGTGCATTAAAATTGGCCAGAATGCAGAATATGAAGTGTTTGATCCTTAAACAACAACATCCACAACATCCTTGCCTGTATATTTACTGGTGATGACTTCAGGGGACAAAATCAGGTTTTAGATATTTAAAATTTGACTAGTTTCGTGTGGACCTTAAACAAGAGTCGCCTAAACTTTGTGCCTTAATATAAAGGCCGCAGAAGAGGCACACCATGCAGGCCGCAGATCTGTGTTCAGTTGGAAACTGCTGCAGCTGCAGCTTTATTATAGGGAGTGTAACTAATAATGAAAACAAACCACTCACATTTTACTTTTTGAGACATATTGGAAACCACACACACACACACACACACACACACACACACGTCCCTCATAAAGCAGCAGCCTTAGAGCCTATAAGCTACTTCTCTCCCCTGAAACAAATAGGCTATATCTTATCCCTTATACCTCCCCCATCTCCCTCTCTCTTCTTCCTCCTTATGTGTGTGTGTGTGTGCGCGCGCGCGCGCGCGGCAGACGAGCCTCCTCGCCCCCACAGAGGAATGTTGGCCCGGTCCGCGGCTCCCCGGCCTGGAGGAGAGGCGAGCCGCGGCTCTTCGCTGCACCGCCGCTATAAATCACAGCCTCCCCTCGCTGCTCCCAGTCTCCCCTCCAGCCTCCGTGTTTTTGCAACAGACAGAGGAATCCTTCGCTTAATTAATTTAGAATGTGTAAATAAAGCGAGGACAGTGAACTCCCCATCATCTCTGGAAACACAATATTAACTTTGGAAGATCTTCGCCCCGCCGACTCTGACACACTAAACGAACACCTGCTGCAGCAAGGGGGGGAAAGAGAGGAGGGCGCGCGCGTGCACGGATACACACACATAAACACACAGCCACAGACACAGTGTCGGGGCAGGGGTATTAATGACTGCAGATATTAGCCTGCAAAGATCACCAGAACATGATAGCAGGTGATACCCGTCATTCAGGCTTGTTTTAGAAGAGTGAGGACGTGTGTTTACTGTAAAGTCTGCAGCCTCTGACTAGAAGCTGTGTTTGTTGCTTTAAGTTTTTGGATCAGGTTTGTGCACCTAAAACATTTTAGATGAATGGATTATGAAACTTTTGATAGAGTTCGAGCAGGGGTCAAATTAAGAGAATATAAAGAACTCTTCCTGCTTTCCCTAAACACTTATCTGCTACATGCATCTGCTTTACATGACAATGCAAACATTCACATGCACTTTATCCATCTCTGAGTGTCCACACAAGTTGCACTTAATGATTAAGATAAATTAGATCAGCCACCTGGTCTGACAGCAAATTACGCGCAGGCGCAATGATCAAACAAAAGGCCCGATAGGCTACAAAAGCGCACATAAAACACACGAGGTGCGGCTTGATCCATTAACCGGAACGATATGCACAGATCGGGCAGGAGTGCGCACATTTAAACCTGACAAATGAAGCTGAACAATGTGACAACTGCAGCAGTGGTTAACAATTTAAAGCCTTGCAGAATAAAACAGACCCTATACATATATATTTTTTGCCTCCCAGGTGTATCTTTCTCACCTGCAGAAATGGCATCATTTTCAGTTTTGGGGTTAACTAAATACTTGATATATTCGCCTATAGGAGTTTGATTACATTTTGATGATGATCTCCATTAAATTTTGCTCAAATGATCAGTTAATGATCTGTTTTGTGACCCCAGCACTTGAACTACAGTGCAGGGAACTCAGGTGGTCTCATCTGGCTCCTTTAATTCCAACACTGGTGTGAGGTAAAATCAACACTGAAACCATGTCATCCAAAGAACTCCACTATTATTTAATTACATTCAACTATTTTGTTTCTCAATGGGGACCTACTCAGTGCTTTTAACCGTTCCCTGCTGGTCCTCGGACCTCACATTGGGCAACACCGGTCCCCTCCATCAGCTCCCGTCCTCGGTTTGGCTTCAGGA